AGTGGCATCATGAGCAGGAACATGCATTCAGGATGCGGTTAGGGTGAGCTAGATAGTCAGTGGAAGGATGGCCAGCAGAGATTCTCTGAGGAGCACTGAAGGATTGTGGCAGCAGTCTGGCATGCATAATTAATTATTGGCACATGTGTATTACATGCTGCAGCAGAATGGCTTCTGGGCCAGTTTCTAAAATTGATTGAGAGCCTGGTTAAAATTTTCCTAGCCTGTTAATTTTGCTTAACCTGTTAAATAAAAACTGTATTACAAGACTCTTGGTGCCAATAAATCTTCTTCATTTAGATAAAATAAAAACAAAAATTGTACCAATTGTCTTTCCCACTTCTTGACATTTAGGAATCCAGAGGGTTTTTTTTCTTATAGTCTAATTATTTTTTTCTCTGAATAGATGTCTATCAAATAGATGTAACATTAATGAGACAAAAACACAGTATCCTGGGCCTGCAATTCCCAAGTGTCCCTTCCAGGCAAGTTATAAAGGGAAAGGGATTCAAGCATTATCTGAATAAGAATTTTATCACTTTCAGAAGATGGCAGAGTAGGTAATTGCCTATACTCACTGTCTTCCACAACCACATCAAAATTATAAATAAAATACAGAACTACCATCATCTAGAAAAGTTGGACGAATGGAAGTCTTAGAGCAAGCTCCATTGGGAGTTATTAAGATAGGACAAAGATTACCCTAATATTTTATGGTAGGTATTGTAAAGTTGATTAAAACATTTTAGCAAACTCTTTTAAAATATTATTTTTCAATTACAGTTTACATTCAATATTATTTTGTATTCATTTCAGGTATACATTATAGGTTAGACAATGATTAGACCATCATATCCTTTACAAAGTGATCCCCCTAATATTTCAAGTAGCCACCTGACACCATACATAGTTATTACAATATTATTGATTATATTCCTCATACCATACTTTACAACCCTTTGACTATTTTGTAACTACCAATTAGTACTTCTCAATCCCTTCACATTTTCCACCAAGCCCCAAAGCCCTTCCCCTCTGTCAACCATCAGTCTGTTCTTTGTATATATGAGTCTGTTTCAATGTTTTTTGTCTATTTCATTTTTTTAAATTCCACATATAAGTGAAAATATATGGTATTTGCCTTCCTCTCTCTGACTTATTTCACTTAGCATTATTACCCTTCCTATTTGTGACAGCAAATGTTTCTTATTCTTTAAGAAAAGATGCTTCTTAATATGATGTCAGGAAATACTGTAGGATTTCATTGGCCTTAGCCAATGAAGTATCTAATGAAGATATTCTGTATTCTGCTGAGAATCATTTTATAGAGAAAGGCAGATGTCTGATTCTATAGGTTTAATTTGTTTCCTTCAGCAATATCAGAAACCTCTTTTGTTAGCCCTCCCTGAATGCACAAAAAAGGAGGGCCCAATCATCCTACTTTTCCTGTTGACTCCTACCTGGAGTAAATACCTAAAGCTAGCCTTTCTTTTGCTTTCTTTCTTAAATACAAGCACAAAATGATATCAAAGTTGCTTCGGAATCCGGTGCTCCCACTGGAGTTGCTCGTGTAATTTGCCTCCTGTAACTTGGTCAGATGTCTGCTCCTAATTCTCAAAGATCGCATACTTCCAAAGGGCTTGCTCATTTCTTTTCAGAGGAGCGGCCCAGAATGGATTCACCCGCACGGTAATACATCCCATGACGAAATCCCCTGATTGATACTGCCCGCTGAACAGAGCTCATTTTCTGAAAGTGCATCTAAAGAGTTTTGTGTGGTCTCATCCCTTCTCCTGTGACCTATTAGTAGCTCCTTTGACTGGGTTCCAGAATTCTGAATTGGTTCAGCCGCAGATTCAAAAAACGTGCTTTTCATCTCGACTGCTGTTCTCAGAGCCGGCTCTCTCCCACAGAGCGTTCCTTTTAAAGCAATCTTTTCTAAGGTTTTTTTTTTTTCTTTCCCCTATAACTCCCATAAGGATTCAAGTTTTATCTTCTTCTTCTTCTTTTTTTTTTTCCTTTTCAACATCAATTAGTTGGAGAAGCAAACTGAGAAAAAATAAACCTACAGTTTTGAAAGAGGAATATAATTCAAAGATGACACTGGCTTACAACCTGCTATCCTTTTCCCTTTAATATTTGATGATAACAAAATACAAATGTTCAATAAATGTTTGCAGAATGGAATTGAATTTTTACTGAAATGTTCAGAAATGGACTAAAATAGTAAAACTAAAAACACATACACACACACAAAAAACACAATAAACCAAGCAAAAAAAAACAAAAAAAAACCCAAACCCACAAAAAAACAACCCCACAAAACCAAAAACCCAGACAAAAATTAATATCTCGACTCTAATGTGAAACATTTGATTTGACTTCCTTACCATTTTTAATTGCTCCTGCATAGAAAATACTGATTTCAAAGGAAATAAAACCAGCCCTAAACCAAGTCAAGCAACACCTTTTAAAACTATGGATATCTAACTGACAAATTCTAAGAGGAGTAAAAGCAACCACCTTATGAAACAATCTACTGAGGTATTCCCAACAGCTGTAGGATTGAATGACCACTTTACAAATGGACAAAAGAAATGCTTTACAAACAAAATCATTATCTCCCTTCACAGGCTGTGAAGCTCCCATGCGTAAACAGCCTTGATGTATTCAGAGCTGTGACAACAAGAATTACAGAAGACAAGGACAGAGCTAGACAATCATTACAATGGCATTTTTTTTGTCTTGCTAATAATTTCTAGTTTAATTTTTTTGGTAGGTCAATATGAAAGGCAAAAATAATCCTATGGCACTAGTATCACCTTGGTTTTTTTTATTGGCTTAAATTAAAGAACTGAACTGAGCAGGGTGTATACCTATTTGGCATGTATAATATTTCCATGGCTTTCAAAAGGAGCACCTTGAGGGGTGGTATAGACCTGAGCCAGGAGCAAGGGCCCAGAGGAGAATCCCCAGAGGGTGGCTGCTTCTTTGGCTAAGAGCTGTTTTTAGTTGGTAAATTCACACTCTCCACAAGGACACACCTTCCAATTCGATATGACTAAAAACTGCAGAGCCAGAAAATCACTTCGCTTTGTGGCTTTAAATGATTATGTTTGTGTTTTTGTTCTGTTCAGTGTTGTTTCGTTTCCCCTGTAATGCACCATTACCTCCAAATTTCATGGTCGTCTACCATCATTTAAGTTTTGAATATAAAAGCAAATTTTCCCTTTCTAAATCTTCTCTCTCTCTCTTAACAGAAATAAATCAGACATCCTAAAGCCAGCATTTAAACAGGGTGCTTGCATTCCTGGGAAATAAATAACGCTGGCCTTGTTCTGACAAGTTAGTTTCTTTCTAAAATATAACGTGCATTCCTAGTTTTAACTTAATGTTCAAAACTTCTGATGTATCCAGTTTTTCAAAATTGCTTCTTTTAGGCATTTTACCCAAACAATAAAAAGGGTTTAATTTTGTTTAGAAAGCATAGGATGATTAATTGATTTTGCAAAATACTTTAAAATAGAGGAGAAAAGTGATTTGGGAAATAATGAGTTGCCCTGCAGTAGACAATCAATTCAAGAAGACATTACAGCTCCAATATAGGGAATTGTTAAGACTATTGTGCATTCATTTCAAAAGAGAGAAAATAATTGTCACATTTGGAATACTGGAAGTACAATAATTTAGTGATGTCTGGCCATAGAAGAAAGACGGCCATATATTCTGGTTACGGAGATCCTTCTGAGCATATTGCATAATGTAGAAAACCCTAGAGACAGAGGCATTTCCTTAAACAAATACTGTTAATACTATTTTTGTTATACCAACTAATTTAAAATATATATATATTTTATTGATTTTACACAGAGAGGAATTGAGAGGGACAGAGAGTTAGAAATGTTGATGAGAGAGAAACATCAACCAGCTGCCTCTTGCACACCCCGCACTGGGGATGTGCCTGCAGCTAAGGTACATGCCCTTGACTGGAATCGAACCCGGGACCGCCAGCAGGCTGACGCTCTACCACTGAGCCAAACCTGTCCCGGATATACCAACTAATTTTAAGATAATGCCAAAAGAGTGATAGGAATTTCCCCAATTGTCAAATGAATCCCAGGCTTGAAATGGCTTTTTCCAAGTTACCAAGTACTAAATGCAATTAATATTTAGTGATTTATATTATAAAAAATATGCTCTGGCCCTGGGCAGTGTGGTTTAGTCGGTTGGGCATCATCCTATGCACTGAAGGGTTGTGAGTTTGATTCCTGGTCAGGATACATGCCCAGGTTGCAGGATTAATTCCCAGTAGGGGGTGTGAAGGAGGCAGCTAATTGATGTTTCACTTTCACATAGATGTTTTTCTCTCTCTATCTCTACCTCTCCCTCCTCCTCCTCCTCCTCCTCCTCCTCCTCCTCCTCTTCCTCCTCCTCCTCCTCCTTCTGCTTCTTCATTTAATATATTATATTGATTTTTTACAGAGAGGAAGGGAGAGAGATAGAGAGCCAGAAACGTCGATGAGAGAGAAACATCGACCAGCCGCCTCCTGCACATCCCCTACCAAGGATGTGCCCGCAGCCAACGTATATGCCCTTGACTGGAATCGAACTCAGGACCTTTCAGTCCGCAGACCGACGCTCTACCACTGAGCCAAACCGGTTTTGGCTCTCCCTTCTTCTTATAAAATTTTTAAAAAAATGCTCTGAAACATTTTTAACATTTATGTTTTACTGCAATAGTTATGACATATATATGCTTGCTGTATCCTTCCTTCTGGTTTAGAGCCTGTTTGTAAGTCATGTTCCATTGAATGACTCATAAATTAAAGAAATATCCAAATAAAACTAGAAAGCACAAAGATTTTTTGGGGGGAGGTAATGCCTTATGCACTAGGCTAGAAAAAAATTTCCATAGTATTTAAATGAATAGTTCTTGATTCAATAGGTTAATATTTGAGAAAGAAACTTAACACATAGGAGGGCAAACATTTCATACTCACTGTAGAGAATGGTCCCAATCAAAGTGTTTTTATAGCCAAGTAGATGGTAACAATTCTGCTATGTTCTTTTTCCAGGACAGACTTCAACTCATTTAGGGTTGCAAAGAAAGGCAGCTCTAAGTAGGAATTCCTGGTGAAAGATGGGAAATATAAACCTGGATCTGAAAAAAACACAGTCATGTTAATGTGTTCTGATATACAGGCTGTCCCCCTCTCCCCCCAAATGTGTATATACTTTAACAGCCGAGAGCTCAATTTTGAAAATGAAATGTATTTTAATAGACACTGCCTTTATAATTATTCAAAGTGTGTATATATTTTTTGGAACACCTTGTATTATTATTTTGCTAATCAAGCAGATGAGAACATAATATTAATAGTTAGCATTCATTTTAAAAGATAAAACTGGCCGAAACCGGTTTGGCTCAATGGATAGAGCGTCGGCTTGGGGACTGAAAGGTCCTGGGTTCGATTCCGGTCAGGGGCATGTGCCTTGGTTGCGGGCATGTCCCCGGTAAGGGGTGTGCAAGAGGCAGCTGATCGATGACTCTCTCTCATCGATGTTTCTAACTCTCTATCTCTCTCCCTTCCTCTCTGTACAAAATCAATAAAATATATTTTAAAAAAATAAAAAATAAAAGATAAAACTGATATTAACAAATATTACTTAGTTCCAACCTTAAGCAATTTAGTTCCAACATTAAGTACAACATGTTTGTAAAGTCATTGTCTCATATAATTAACCACCAGTTTAGAAGAAAAGACTCAAAACAGGAATATATACTATATATATATATATATATATATATATATATATATATATATATGTGTGTGTGTGTGTGTGTATGTATATATATTTTGTTGTTGTTGTTGTTGTTGTTGTTTAAGGGAGAATAAACACCCTGCAATTGTATAAAAATCATCTGTGTCCCTGAATATCCTCTATAATAAAGATGCAATATGCAAATGGATCATGGGTCAGCAGGAGGGTTGGGCAGCGAGCTACAAGTGCGTGGAGGAGAACTATAAGAGGGGGATGGGCAGCAAGCTATGAAGCGGGCTAAGGGGGAGCTACTGAAGGGGGGCAGCAAGCTACTGGTGAGCTTCTGGCACACAGATTTATATACAGGGCTACTAGAGTGGAATAATAGTTTTCATTAGCTTCTTAAAATATTCTGTGCTATAAATGGCTATACATCAAATTATAATAATAACTTAAAATTGATAAAGTTTACTTGATGTAATTACACTTCAATAAAAAAAAAACACCTGTGACACAAAAATATTAGAAAAACTGTCACATTCTTTTAAAAATATATATATTTTATTGATTTTTTACAGAGAGGAAGGGAGAAGGATAGAGAGTTAGAAACATTGATCAGCTGCCTCCTGCACACCCCCTACTGGGGATGTGCCTGCAACCAAGGTACATGCCCTTGACCGGAATTGAACCCGGGACCTTTCAGTCACAGGCCGACGCTCTGTCCACTGAGCCAAACTAGTTTCGGCTGTCACACTCTTTTTATTAATAGTCATTAACATTTAGTGCTTTTCACTGTTATATAAGATATATTTTTAAGGAGTATTACTATACTATGCAAGGTTATTAGGAATTAGAATTCTTAATCTTTTAAATGCTCACTCTCATAAAATCCTGAGACATAAGTTTTAAAGAGTATTTATCTTATTGTCATATATATATATATATATATATATATATATATATATATATATTTAGACCTATGGACTTGGTACACTGAGCCAGTATATTACCTTAAGATTTAGAAATGCAACTTTATTTTTTGTTTCTCTCACAATGTGGAAGTATTCTTTGCCTCTGGATGAAAACTTGGCAATCCCTATGAATCATACCTTCTTTCTAAATTACACAAAATTTTTTTAAAAAACCTAATATACAGTCTAAGAAATGTATCAACTCTTAACATTTTCCTTCCTAGATATGACTTCCCTGAGCTTCGCTAGTCAAAGCTGAGGGGTGCCTGACACCTGCTCTCTGTCTTGAGGAGCAGGGAGACGCTGGCTTCTGTTCCTATTTCCTTCTCCCCTCCCCTTCCCTCTCCCCCTTCAGACTAGCTGCTGCTTTGGACCTTTGTGGCTTTAAATGGGAGAAGACAAGGTGAGGCGGAAAGAAGCACACAGCGGCGCAGAGCTAATAGAGCGGGTGACTAATATTGCAAGCAGGCCTCAGGCTCTCTAGGAGTAGCGGATGTTTAAAATGCACTGTATCCCTCCTGGCAGGAATGCCAGACAAAGTACAGGATGCTCAGTTATACTTCAGTTTCAAATAAACAACAAACCATTGTTTTAGTAGACCTCATCCAATGTGTGAAACATAACTCTACTAAAACAGTGATTTGTTGTTTATTTGAAATTCAAATTGAACGGAGGGCCCTCTACATTCAGTCGTTAAATTGTCAGCCCTGTGACTCAGGAGGATTTGTGCAAGCTTTAGAAACCCTTTGTCAACAGCCATTTCTAGGGCTTGTGCAGTGGCCTGCCTTTGGCTTGTCACTCTTAGCTTGGTCCTGCTCGGATTTTTCACATTCTATGCAGACTCTTGCTGTTGGACAACCGCTTTCCTGTATCAAAGAAAAAGTTGCACTGGACCAAGTTCAATAGGCAAGAAAGACTTCATTCAAGCTTAATGCCATAGTGGAGCGAGGTTAGAATTCAGTCTTTGCTCTGAATGTTAGAGGGTTTAAGAGCTGAGGTGAGGGGATCATAAGCTACCGGTTTTGGTTTTGCTAGTAGGCCTTACCCCTCAAAAATAAGCTTTCTCCTATTGTCATTACTGGCGGCGATTTACAACGTGGAGCAAGGCACCCACTGAAGCTAGGCGTCCCCTCTCCCAGAGCCTGGCTGATAGGACCACTATTTTCTTGATTACTTTGGAAAGAGATGGCTCCAGGTGAGCGCAGCCTAGGTGTTACAGTAGGAATTAGTACAATAGTTCATATAGTCCGGCCCTCCAGCTCTCTGAGGGACCGTGATCTGGCCCCCACTTTAAAAAGTTTGAGGACGCCTGCCTAGATCCTGCAGAAAGACCCTCCTGGGTTATGAAACCGGCAAAAAGCTTTCAAAGAAGATTTACAGCCCAAAGGATCCAAGGAAAGAATCTATAATGGAAAGTTCTCTAAAGTAAAACTAGGCAGAGGTCTAGAGCCAGGGTGAAGCCTGCCTGTCTACAATTCAGTCCAGCCAAGGGGAACGTTAACATGGTCTTGTTCACCTGACTAGAAAATCCACTCGGACAGAACGTAAGGTGGCTCTGGGCCCAATCTCTTTTCTAAGAGGTCCATACCTAGTTCATGGTAAACACTGCTCTGTTCCCTGTCTTATTGTCTGTGGGGTATAGCTAATTTTCAAACAGTCTTCTCTTTCTGTTTCTGTTTCTTTATCTCCATCCCCCCTGCCCCCCTGCCACACACACAGGTTGAGAACCGCTAGCATGGTTGCCTAAGACCATCAGAAAACACAGATATTTACATTACGATTCATAACAGCAGCAAAATTACAGTTATGAAGTAGCAACAAAAATAATTTTATGGTTAGGGGTCACCACAACATGAGGAACTGTATTAAAGGGTTGCAGCTTTAGAAAGGTTGAGGACCACTGATCTAAGGTCTTCAGTACTATAGAATTAATTAAGCTGCTTTTAGGATAAAACTAGACCCTTCATGCTTATATTTTTCAGGTTCACACACACACACACACACACACACACACACACACACACACACCAGTAAGGCAGAACGACATTTTCTTCTGTGGCTCTACTTGTGTTTATGCTGTTCTATCGATATTTGTCTGGAATGCCCTGCCCCATAAGCCTAGGTATACTGGGCTTCTTTTAATTCAATGCTCACCTTGACTATTCCTCCAAATTTGAACTCCCCATTATATTGAGCTACAACTCTTTCAGTGCATGCATGTTTTCTTCCTTATGTTGCAATTGTTAAGAAATTTGGGGCAGAACTGATAAAATAGTAAATCTGAACCTGTTACATTAGATAAGGGAGCTAAATTCACCTCAGTTAGTAAAAATAGGATATCCTAAATAAATGAATTCTGAGAAGACTTGGAAAAATATGCATTAAGGAAATGAATTTTCTTTCTTGTGACCAGAAAAGCCTGTAACATTGTTAGAGTTGTACCAAATGGAGCAGAATGTTTAGTAGATACACAACTGTACATGCACCATTTATGCTATATAATAAAAGGGTAATATGCAAATTGACCCTAAAGGCAGAACGACCACTCAGCCAGTCACTATGAGGCACACTGACCACTTCTCAGTCTCTTTCCCTGACTAGCAGGCTCCCATTGCCCTCAGGCAAATGGGAAACTGGGGGTTGGTGGACGAGGACACGGGTAGTGCCAGGCAAAGGCCCCCACCCCACCAGTCGCCCCCCACACAGAGGGTGATCTGCAGTGGAGTTGGGGCAGCAAGCAGGCGGGAAGTCTGACCTCTCGGTTCCTCTCTCCAGTTGACAGGCTCTGATTGCCTGATGGCAAAAGGGGAAACAGGGCTGGGTGGTGGTGGGGGGCAAGGCCAACTGCTGGCAGCCAGGGAAGATGGCACTGATCGTAGGACAAGTCTAGGGACCATACTGTCCACGAAGTTTGTGTGTTGGGCCTCCAGTTAATATACAAGGAGAAAAAAACATAAGGAGAAAATGTTGTGTTAATAAATTTCTTAGACTGTATATTAGTTTTTTAAATTATTGTATAATTTTGAAAATAGGTATGACTCATAGGGATTGCCAAATTTTCACCTAGAGGCAAAGAAAATTTCCCCATTGTGAGAGAAACAAAAAATAAAGTTGCATTTCTAAATCTTAGGTAATATACTTGCTCAGTGTACCAAGTCCATAGGTCTAAATATATTATCTATGTCATATATATATATATATATATATATATATATATATATATGACAATAAGATAAATACTTTTTAAAACATGTCTTATCAAGTTAAAATGCAATGCAACTCTATACTGGAGGATGTTTAGATGACAAATTTGGATATGGCTGTGGCAGAGAAAATGGTTAATATTAAAAAGAGACTGGGCTTGGGTTTTAAATTAATAGAATATCATATAACTTAAAAAGTTGCATATCTGTTGATTCTACTATAA